CAGAAATCTTTTTAATTTGTCACTTGGCAATTTATTACAACTCTCTTTAGAACAATATCAAGAATATTGTAATTTTGGGCATAATTTTCCAACAGTAACATTAGCCAACACAGATAAAATTATTTCATAAGACATTTTAACATTTAATAAACATATTTATTAATTCCTCAGTCATGCACTATATCAAAGAATGTGAACAGACACATGATAGAATTTAAGTTTAATATGAAATATGATTTTAGTTCTTCCTTCCCTTCATCTTTTTCTTTTATACTTGTATTTGTTAACTGCTACAGAAAATTTAAGGGATTGACAAAGTACTACACAAAGAACTAATTAGTGAATTTACTGTATTTTGTATATATCACTGCATTCTTTGCTATGCTAATCAAGAGAGGTGTGTCTCAAAGGGAATAAAGTTTCTTAGGATCTTCAATCTAGGGCCTTTTCTCCCCGTTTTGAGATTCTCTACTACCTAGTAAGTATTCCGAAAAATTGAGAAGAAATCTTATCTCATTTATAGTGTGGTTGATAATAATCAACTTACAGTTTCCATAGGGGGCTCAAGTTCTCATGTAGTAATTAAAGGTTGGTACCAGAGTGTGGTTATTTGTCATGTAGACTAAGTAAACAAAAATGTGTTGGATCATATTGAACCAAAACGTTGCGAGCTGGGAAGTATGAATCATGTGTTTAATGTAGCTCTCTCAACCTTCCGAAAGTTCCCTATAGACCTCTGCATAGCAAATTCCTAATATCCCCATATACAATGGGATATACATCATCTATTGTAGAAATGCGTTCGCTCATGGCTATCGATCCTGATTAAAAGCACTGTTTACTTTATTTTAGAGTATAATGGTTAATTAGAGTAGGATTTATAATATAATTAGGGTAAGGATTTAAGTTTCTTTGAATCACTCGTTTTAGCACGTGAAAGGGAGCGATAAAGGGAAGTTATGTGAGTTTATTGTAGCATCGTATGCTGAAAGACGTTAATAGTTAGAAAATAAGAACTGTTGGTTAATTCAAGAGTTTGGCACTCAGAAAATTTGATGCTATATAACAGATGGAATTTTGAGAAATAAAGTAGATTCTAAGTTAGATATACAGGGTGGGGCAGAAGTAGGTTTACAGTTGTGAGTACACGAGACACAGAGTTTATTCTTGTATTATTATTTATTAATTATTGCATTATTTTCCATATGAACAACCTACCTTTGCCCCAACCCGTATGTGAGACACAGAGGAATTAGTGATGGCTCTGTATATTTACAAAGAAAAGTCACCTTCCTTTAGGTACTTATCAATAAGCTAAACTCAGAGCTAGAATACCCTTTATGGTCATCTACAATTTTAACATGTATGGATGTAACTGAGGGGGTGGGAAGAGAAAAACTGTGAATATTGCTATTATCCTCTAATGAATTAATTCAGGTTGTACTGACTCATTGCCTAATTAATAAGGTCTTAAAGAGACACTTAAAATTTTTAAAAATTGATTTGAGAGATAGAAAGGGAGAGAGAAACATCCATGTGTTGTTCCACCTATTTATGCATTCATTGTTTGATTCTTGTATGAGTCTATGTGCTCTAACGGGAGATCAAACTTGCAACCTTGGGGAATCGGGACAATGTTCTAACCAACTGAGCTACCCAGCCAGGGCTTAAAGAGACACATTTTGAGAATTGGCCACCAAAACAGAATTTTAGGTATTCTACTCAACTGAGTTATTAAGTAGACAAGATTTCATTTATGTGTGCTTTTTGTTTAGTTTTGTTCAGAATGCTAGGCTCAGTTCTCTGGCTTTATTGCACACCTAGAAGAACAAATGTTATGAGGACCGTGTTTTACTTACCTATATGATAATGAAGATGATGGATTCCTACCCATATTATTCCATCAAGGTACAGAACTATGACTTTGGAAGAACTGTGAAATGTTGAATCAGCATAGAGATGTTGACGGCGGAACTGTTCTAGTGAGGTTACTTAGTCTGAAGTTTGAATCGAACTAAGTTATTTTCCTCATAAGAAATCCAAGTATCCTAAGGATAATTGAAAAATTTACTAGTAGGCATGAGAGTGGTAAAAATACACAGTAACCTGTGTCTTCTCTTCATTAGTTACTTAATTTTGGATAAGAAGTAGAGATTCCAGTGGCTTTAATAATAATATTAATAACCATTTGCAACACACACATATATATTCTGGTCCATAGTTTCTTCCTACCACTTACACATTTTAATATATGGAGAAACTATAAACTTTTCTGGGGTTTAGTTGCCTCCCCATATAAAATCTGCATAGTAATATGTTGAGTATTCAAAGAAGTTTGTAGGATCCTTTCCAGTTCTATGATCTTTACTTCTATAAATGGCAAAAGGGGTATGGGATCTCATTAAATATAATTTCTCTGGACCGCAAATGTTATCACACCAAAATTTTAGGAGAGTCTATGCTACAATTCTATTGAGCAGCATCATTCTGATGTTTAATGAGTAATTAACTGAAAGAAGGAAGCGTGATTTGTGGCTTCTTTATATCTAAATAGAAAGTTACCATTTTCAATAGTGGTAATAGAAATAATATTAAAATACCAAGGTTTGAAATAATGTTTTCACTGATCCTTGTTATACACACAGTCATTCCGTTTTTTTTCTTACTTTCCTTAAAATGTTACATCCTCCTTAGTTACTAGACAAACAAGACAAGCATTTGCCTACAGCAAAGGTTCAGATTACTCCCCGAGGCCCACTTTGTGTGTATGGATATAACTGATCTGCCTGTTTTAAGTGAGCTTCTGTCAAACTTAGGAGCAAGGAAGTTAGTGAATGGTTTTGCCCATATCTTTCCATGAAAAGAATCAGCTATGTTCTGTCATTATGGTAATGCCTACAGAGAGACTGATACTTCTGAGTCTATGCCCATTTTGCTGCCATGTAGATTTTTTTTTTACCCTCACCCAAGGACATTTTTCCATTTTTTGTTCAGAGAGTGGGAGGGAGAGAGCGGAAGAGAGAGAGAGAGAAACATCTACGTGAAAGGGACACATCGAGTGGCCACCACCTGCACGACCCAACCAGGGCGGGGGACAAACTGCAACCGAGGTACATGCCCTTAGCGGGAACCAAACCCGGGTCTCTCTGGACCGCAGGCCGACGCTCTAACCGCTGAGCCAAACCGGCCAGGGTGCCATGTAGGTTTTGTAGCTGATTGGATCAAACTGATGTTGTGTTGAAAAACATCCTATCATGGCTCTACCATTTGGAGTATTGATATGGTCACCATGGCCTTGGAAGTTCAATAAAAAGATTCATCAACAAACTTCTTCAATGATACAAAATTGACTTGGTGGCACTGTAATTTAAATAGAACTCCACACATGCATAACCCAAGTTTAACTAAAGTTTTATTTTCTCAAACAGTTGTTTTGGATCTGCTCAGCCACTCATTTAATAAACATGTGTTGAGTATTTCACTATGAACCAGACATTATGTTAAAAAATAAATAAGGGAAAAAAATAAATTAGGGATACAAAAAATAAGTAAGATACAGTCCATGCTCTCCTCTAATGGGTAAACCTTCATGTAAACAGACAATTATAAAAACATGACATTCTGTTGACAGCTTTAGTCTGCATAGTTCTTTATATACCTGACATTCAGACCCAGTTTGATTTCCTGTAGGGTCAAAGTGCATGTTTATTAATTGGATGAGTTCATTAACATATTTCATAGTGTTTAAGCAAATCTACTGATTTTCATTTTTAAAATATTTTTATAAATTTTTTTAGAGAGAAGGGAAGGGAGAAGGAGAGAGAGAGAGAGACATCAATGTGAGAGTGACGCATTGATTGGCCGCCTCCTGCATGCCCCCCACCAGGGATCGAACCACAACCTAGGCTTGTGCCCTGACTGGGAATCAAACCAGCAAGCCCTCTGTGCCTGGGACGATGCCCAACCAACTGAGTCATACTGGCCAGGGCTGATTTTAATTTTTGATATGCTTAATTACTCTCTTTTAAAAAATCTTTACCACTTTTACTACAGAGTACTATATTTGATTAATATGAATACATGGTCTGATGGAAATAAGAAAAGGGCTACTAATCATATGCCTGTTTCTGCTGAAATTTGACATTAAAAGACAGCTAACTAAATGCTTTATTTAAATAAAAAAAAACAAGATATTATTTTGTAACTTTCTAAGATAATTATGAACTGGGTTGCATTTGTTTAAGTGCTGTTACTAGTTCAAGAATTTTCATTTTGGGGTAAAGTGACAGAGGGTTATAGTTCTATGAAATCATAGAATAATGCATTTTTTGACATCTCATCTAGGTTGCAAAAGTGAGGTAATGATTTATTTGAAAGATTTAAATACTGCTTCTCACTTGACATAACTGACTCCCAGACGTATCAGTTGCATATAGTAGAGTCAAACCACCCAGTTGGCAAAGTGACATGATCTAAGTCGGCAAATTTAATTTCAGGCTTATTTTTCACTTACAGAGATCACATCCAGCAGTGGAGACAGAACCTTTTAATTAAACAAAGTTTCTTCTGCCTCAGCTCCCCTTTTCTACGAATTGTCTTTGTGCTTCAGAGTGGGGGTTAGGCTGTTCACTTACAGATGTCTCAGGATTATTTTGGTCTTTAAGATGAAAGGAGAACCTCTCAGCCTTGGGATAGGCAGGCCTACATCCCTTTACAACAGGAAGCAGTTGCAAGAAGATGGAGACTTTCATCCATTTCTCCTTCATAAGATTACAAGAGTTTTCTTTTTTTCTCAGGGGAGATTTGATGCTGTTATAATAACCTGGTTATTAATTAACAGGAAAGGAGCAAGGGGAGACTAGAGAATATAGGCTTTGCCAGGAGGCTGCTGTTTAATATTCTCCAGGTCTGTTCCTTGCACATCGATGGGGGAAGGGACTGCACAAAGGTAGTTTAGATGTATGCCCAGTAAGGTCTGGGTGACGTGGGAAGATGCTTACCTGTCACTCACATCTGGTAGCAGGTAATTGGCCAGAATAGGTGTGGCCACTGCAAGGGCATGAAATCTGAGATACTTAACTGCTGCACAAATGGCGTTCTCCCTCTTGGTGCTCTTGGCTCTCTTGTGCTCCTGCATCTCCTGCTGCAGGGGCATACTCCCCTGCATCTGCCGACATGGCTCACGGCCACGAGGACCCCCCCCCCCCACAATGGACTAATGGACCGGAATTAGCCTGATGTTACCTCGGACCCAGCTCTACCATTCAACAGAAACTTTGCACGCTGGCTTTGTTTCAAGCCCTGCTAAATCCACAACTTCATATTTTCCAGAACTGTATTAAGGGAAATGGGATTTTAGAAACAGAGGGATGTAAGTACACAAAAAGAAAATATTGCTCATTCTCCAAAAAAAAAAAAAAAAAAAAAAAAGATTAAGGTTATTTTCCCCCCGCCTCTACCCTAAGAACTTATTATGCTATAATTGAAGTACCAGTGTTAACATTTACATAAAAGAACATAGCATTCATCAGGGAAAATCAATTTAAAGTGTCAAAGGAGAACCCTAGAACCTCCCTATTTTTACACAGTGACTTCCCTCAAATGAAATCTATCTTGCTGGAGGGACTCGCTAGGTCTTCATGCCTTCTTTCCAAATTAAGTAATCCTAGGAGGACAGGCCTCCCTAGTATGAAATCATCTTTAGAAATATTTGCTTTCGACATACTTGCTAATCAGCTTCATTTGTTTTTAGAGATAGACATTTAATAAACCCAGGAAAACATTTCTTCAAACCTATCATAATCAGGATTCACATCAGTAGTTTTACTAGATTAATTTTCTTGGCTAATGATAAATATAATTCCCCTCAATGTACAATATGATGGGAATAATTAAGGGATCAAAGTTTCTTTGAATTAAGTATTTCAACCTCAGGGTTAACAAAGTCTGTAGATATTTAATCTCAACCAATAATTTTTAATTACAAAATGAGACTATCATCCTGCGATATTGAGAATGATGGTCTTGATCTAATTAATTTCACATTCATTATTCTGTTCTTAAAAGATGTTTTTGGCAGCACCCAAGTTGGAAGTAAGAGAAATTTCTATGATGAAAAAGTATGCATATGTCAAAAGCTTTGTAGATCACAGAAGCCTTCAGCTTTCCAGTGATCATTGTACTGGAATAATTAGGAAGTGAGTTAAGCCACTGAATTAAAATAAAAATGAAATGGCAAGCTCATAAAAATTGCAATCTGAGGAAATCACAATGCTTCAATAAGTCTCTCAATACAGTCCAGCTGACAAACGATGGATCAGTAAACCTGCTCAGAGAAACACAATTTGAATGGCTTCACTACCGATACCTGCTCTAGACATGTCAGAGAACCCGATTGTTGCTATTACCTGCTTCTCAGAGGAACATTTCCTCAGGTAACAAGACTTTGGTATTCATGTGTTTGACTTGATTAACAATGGTCTCTCTTGACCTTATCTTTAAATTAAGCTGATATGAAAATATATATATATATATATGTGTGTGTACCCACACACACACACACATACTTGTTCCTTAATATTTATGATAATAGCCTGGCTGATGTGGCTCAGTGGTTGAGCATCGACCCATGCACCAAGAGGTCGCCAGTTCAATTCCCAGTCAGGGCACATGCCCAGGTTGTGGGCCTGATCCCCAGTGGGGGGCATGCAGGAGGTGGCCAATCGATGTTCTCTCTCATTGATGTTTCTGTTTCTCTCTCCCTTCCTCGCTCTTTAAAATCAATAAAGAAAATTATTTTTTAAAATATATATATATTTTTTTTATCCTCACCCGAGGATATTTTTCCATTTTTTTTTTGTACAGATAGAGTGGGAGGGAGAGAGAGGAAGGGAGAGAGAGAGAGAAACATCGACGTGAAAGGGACACATCGAGTGGCTGCCACCCACACGACCAACCAGGGCCAGGGACAAACTGCAACCGAAGTACGTGCCCTTAGCGGGAACCGAACCCGGGTCTCTCCGGACCGCAGGCCGACGCTCTAACCTCTGAGCCAAACTGGCCAGGGCTATTTTTTAAAATATTTATGAAAATAGAAAACTTAGGAGAAGAATGAAACATAAATTATAACATTTTTTTCCTGTTGTGGACTAAATTGTGTACCTCAAAATTTATATGTTGAACCCTCGATCCCCATTGCAATGGTATTTTGAGACAGGGCCTTTGGGAAGTCAGTAGGTTTAGATGAGATCATGAGGATGGGGCCCTAATGAGGGATTAGCGCCCTTAGAAGAAGAGACGCTGGAGAGCTTGCTTTCAGACTCCCTCTTCCCCTCCCCCTCTTCTCTGACATGTGAGGACACGCTGAGAAAGAGGCTGTCTGCAAGCCAGGAAAACAGCCCTCACTGGAGCCCAACCGTGCTGGTGCCTTCAACGTGGGCTTCTCCCCTCCAGAACTGTGAGAAAATACTTTTCTGTTGTTTAAGCCACCACGATTGTGGCATTTCGTCATAGCACTCAGAGCTAATACTTTTTCATAACAGGCACACATTTATTTATCTCAGAATTCAGACATACAGGTGATTAGTTGTAGCAGTAAAATACAAAAAAAAAAAAAAAAAAAAGGAAGCATTATATATAAATTTTAATAAGTAAATATTGTGGAAAAAATTGGCATTTAGGACAGGGTTTTGAATTCTCAAACTCTCAAGGTTGTGACCATTTGGGAACTTACATCCCAGAGCCGTCCTTCATGCAGGACATGCTCTGACGGTCCCGCTTCTCCAGTAGCCTTGTCTTCCATCATCCTCTTTCCTCTCGAAAATGTATTCGGTGTTAATTCTACCAGGTTGTCATCTCTATTGGAAACATTTCACTCTTCTTCACCAAACAGCCCGCTGACTACATTCTGTCGGTAAGAGAAGTCAGTAAGTCCAGGAAGTGTTTTCTAAATGATAAGAATAAATCCTTTTGTCCATAGCAATTTACTAAATATACATTTTTTACTAATGCATTTTGCATGAGAACCTATTGACGGTAATGTACATTTTGTAATTTTTTTTTTAAGGTGTATGTTGTATGAATGTCCCTGATACCTGCTTCTGTCACAACAAGGGAAGTGATCATCTAACATTTTTTTCCTATTTTTTATTTTTTTACTGTTGAAAGTATTACAGATGTTTCCCTTTTTCCCTATTGACCACCTCCTTCCTGCTCCCACCCCCTCCTGCTTTCCCCAGCCTAATGTCTGTGTCCATTGGTTGCGCATATATGCATATAAATTCTTTGGTTTATCTCTTTCCTCCCCTCCCATCCCCCATTCCTCTGAGGTTTGTTAGTCTGTTCCCTACTTCCATGACCCTGCATCTCTTTTGGTTGACAGCCTGTTTTCTTTATTATATACCATAAATAAGTGAGATCATGTGATACTTGTCTTCCTCTGACTGGCTTATTTTGCTTAGCATAATACTCTCCAGGTCTCTCCATGTGCTCTCAAAGGGTAAGAGATCTCTCTTTCTTACAGCTGCATAGTACTCCATTGTGTATATGTACCACTGCTTTTTTATCCACTAATCTACTGATGGACACTTTCCAGAGGGCTGTTTCCAGATCTTAGCTATTGTAAACAGTGCTGGTACAAACATGGGGGTACATATATTCTTTCTGATTGGTGTTTCAGGCTTCTTAGGGTATATTCCAAGAAGTGGGATCACTGGGTCAAATGGCAGTTCCATTTTTAATTTTTTGAGGAAACACCGTATTGTTTTTTCAAAGTGGCTGCACCAGTCTGTATTTCCACCAGCAGTGTACTAGAGTCCCCTTTTCTCCACACCCTCGCCAACACTTGTTGTTTGAAGATTTGTTGATGGCGGCCATTCTGGCAGGTGTGAGGTGATATCTCATAGTCATTTTAATTTGCATCTCTGATGATTAGAGATGTTGAGCATTTTTTCATGTTTCCTGGCTATTTGTATGTCCTGTTTGGGGAAGTGTCTATTTAGGTCCTCTGCCCATTTTTTTGTTTGTTTTTATTGTTTTTTAGAGAGAGAGGAAGGGAGAGCAAGAGACAGAAACATTGGTGTGAGAGAGAAACACCAATTAACTGCCTCCTGCATGCCCTCCACTGGGGATTGAGCCCATAACCCAGGCGTATGCCCTCACCGGGAATCGAACCAGGATCTCTCAGTCCATGAGACGACGCTCAATCCACTGAGCTACACTGGCTCTTGCCTCTGCCCACTTTTAATTGGATTATTTGTCTTCCTTTTGTTGAGTTGTATGAGTACTCTATATATTTTGGATATTAACCCCTTATCCTATGTATCATTGGCAAATATGCTCTTCCAGAGAGTGGGTTCCCTTTTCATTTTGATGCTGGTTTCTTTTGCCATGCAGAAGCTTTTTAGTTTGATGTAGTCTCATTTATTAATTTTTTCCTTTGTTTCTCTTGTCGTAGGTGATAGATCAGTGAAAATTCTGCTATATATGATGTCTTAGAATTTTCTGCCTACATTTTCTTCTAGGATTTTTATGGTTTCACGGGTTACATTGAAATCTTTTACTTATTTTGAGTTTATTCTTGTGTATGGTGTAAGCTGGTGGTCTAGTTTCATTTTTTTGCATGTAGCTGTCCAATTTTCTCAACACCATTTATTGAAGAGACTGCCTTTTCTCCATTGTATCTCTTGTCTCCTTTGTTGAATATTAATTGTGCATACTGTCTTGAGTAGATCTCTGAGTTCTCTGTTTTGTTCCAATGATCTATCTGCCTGTTCTTGTGCCAGTACCAGCCTGTTTTGATTACGGTGGCTTTGTAGTCTAACTTGATATCTGCTATTGGTATTCCTCCCACTTTGTTCTTCTTTTTCAAGATTGCTATGGCTATTTGGGGTCTTTTATGGTTCTATATAATCTTTTGGAGAATTTGTTCTATATCTGTGAAATATGCTATTGGTACTTTAATGGGATTGCACTGAATAGATTGCTTTGGGTAGTATGGACAATTTAATGATGTTGATTTTTCCAATCCATGAACATGGTGTTTGTTTCCACTTTTTAATATCTTCCTCTATTTCTTTTCTCAATGTCCTGTAGTTTTCTGAGGACAGGTCTTTTATCTCCTTGGTTAAGTTTATTCCTAGGCATTTGTTGTTGTTG